TCAAACTTTGGCTAATTGTGCCCCATCTCTCACTCAAGTCTGCCAAATATAAGGCTAAAGCATGATATTGTATCAGTGTTTCTCAAACCTCGATCAAATAGAAATAGAATAGAATGGGTTGGAAGGGACCTTTGAGGTCTTCTAGTCCAGACTCTTGATCAAGCAAGGGGCCCTATACAAATTGAGACAAGTAGCTGTCCAGTCTCTTCTTAAAAAACCTCCGGTGATGGAGCATCCCCAACTTCTGGAGGCAAGCTGTTCCACTGGTTAATTGTCCTCACTGTTAGGAAGTTTCTCCTTCTCTCAAGGAGAGATTGCTTCTCTCCTTGATAAGTTTCCTTCCATTGTTCCTTGTTTTGCCTTCTGGTGCTTTGGAAAACAAGTTGACCCCCTCTCCTTTGTGGCAGCCCCTCAAATACTAGAATACTGCCTATTCCCCACCAATAGGCAGAGGTCAGCAACTTTAAACACCTAAAGAGCCACAAACCTCCTAACCAGAAGCCCCCTGTTCAATTCTGGAGCCGACCAGAAGTCCGATTCCCCCACCATAAAGTCTTCTCCTAGCATGGCATCCTTTTTCCTCTCTCTGTCCTAACCGAAGGCCCTATCAATTGTGGAGCCAACCTGTGTCAGGGAGCTGTAGCAGAGGGATGAAAGAGCCACATGCGGCTCCAGAGCCGTGGATTGTTGCTCCCTAGTGTAGAGGCAGAAAGCAAAGGCATCACAGAAGCCTGAAATTACATGAGTCTGCTCTGTGTGACCTAGTTGGCCAGTTCCAAATTGCTAGATGTCCACTGTAAAATCATTGTGATTGTCTACAGGCAGTCCTCCACTTACGACAATTGGTGCCAGAATTTTCATTGCTAAGTCAGGCCGTTGTTAAGTGTGCCGTGGCCAATTTTACCCTCTTTTTTTTGCCAAAGTTGTTAAGCAGATGATGCAGTTTTGACAACATGCTAGCTATTTGGGTTCCCCCATTAAAGTTTCTAGCCCCCCCTTGTTCCTACCATTCCCAGTCAGACAATTATATACTCAGGTTATCTGGTTGATTCTATCCCTGCATGTTTTTAAGCTTAGATGGTGGAGATTGTTGTTGTTAGTTGCGTCGTGTCTGACCCATCACGATGGGTTGTGTCTGATGCATCACGACCCCATGGACAACGTTCCTCCAAGCCTTCCTGTCCTCTACCATCCTCTGGAGTCCATTTAAGCTCACGCCTGCTGCTTCGGTGACTCCATCCAGCCACCTCATTCTCTGTCGTCCCCTTCTTCTTTCCTGAGTCCTTCCTTCTCATTAGGTGGCCAAAGTACTTGAGTTTCCTCTTCAGGATCTGGCCTTCTAAAGAGCAGTCAGGGTTGATCTCTAGGACAGTGGTCTCCAACCTTGGCAACTTTAAGACTTGTGGACTTCAACTCCCTCAGCTGGCTGAGGACCTC